AGAAGCCAGACAATCCTCATATTTTAGATAATCACACCATGGTAAAACTAGGTGAAGTTGACCTAGTTTTGTATCTCTGGAACTAAAAAATATAGATATCTAAAGTTTATTTGTTTCGAACTTTCCAGTTTCCCATGCAATGAAAAAGAACGTAATATTTTCTCGGCTGAAAACAAAAGATTTCATTCCGTGTCTCGTTGTACTCACGGAATCAGAGGTCCTCTGGAAAAATGGTGTCAGTGTTTCTCTGGGTGAAGTTAACCGAAGTAAGACCTTCGATTTATTTATTACGTGCTTTGCAGTTGATCTTAATGAAATAGTCTGTGTTATTTCTATCAAAGATTTGTGTTGTGAAGTTCTACCGTTAAAAATGTTCAAATCCTTGCGTAAAAATATACCGGATTTGCGACTTTTCCGTAGTTCCGGTTTCGTAATATCAAGCATTGTACGTTCCAATCAGTACAAATGGCGAACGCAAGAACATTTGTTTTGGTGCGATTCTCTGGAAACAACTAATCGGTGGATATCAACTTTGAAAGAACAAATCTATCTTGCCAGTAAGTTAACATTCGTGTGATTAAGTTTGCTGTTTGTTTTTGCTATGCATGGGACGCCAAAACTTAATCAGATAAACGTTTTATTCCATTATTGTTGGTTATCCACTTTGTGGATTGTAACCATGCAGTCATAGTTAAGGTGGGTTTTACAGTTTTGCATAGTGAAATGTATGACTTAAGGAGCTCATCGTATCTAGGCTTCGAAAATGCAAACTTTCTAGTTCTCATTTGTTCTTTTGAGAGTAATACTATTTTTTTCATCGCACAGAGACCGCACATTGACATGATGTCATGGCTTGCTCACCTTTCTGACCCAACGAGTTACGCACGAGAAAGTTTCCCAGCCAAAAGATTTGATCATGCATAAAATGTCACTGGCTGGGGGTCAGACAAATTTCAGTTTCCTGGTCCTCCAGGTTGGGTTTTTGTCTTGAGTTAACATCTCAGTTAGTTAATCTGATGGGGTAATAATTGTACCAAGCAGACGAATTGCTGTTTCACCTTTTCCTTTTCCTTGGGCTTCTTTCTTTTTAGAACCAAATGATTGATTTAAAAGAAAGGTGACAGGTCCGCTAGTGAAAATCACAGAGGAATTAGTTTCATCAACATTGTCTCCAAAATTGTCGGGGGCATCATGCTCCGTCGTTTGTCTGCCGTCCGTGATGGGTGCATGCGTGAGAATCAGGTTGGTTTTTAGACCCGATCGGTGTTGTACAGACTACATTTTCACTCTTCGCTGAATTCCGGAACACCGACATTCTCTATGTGGACCCACTGTTTATATCGTCTTTGATCTGAAAGCGGCCTTTGACTCAGTGGACCGCTCTATATTCTTGCTCTACCTCTCTTTGAAAGGTGTTCCCAAAATGCATATTTCAATAATACTATCCCTTCATACTAATAACTGAAGCCGAGTCCTCACCTACAGCACCTTCTCACCCTAGTTCACCACGTAAATTTCTGTTCTCCCGGATAAACTCTCTTTTCGTTTCTATTTAACCTCGTTGTAGAATCGATTCCTAAAACAGCTTTATTCTCGTCCGAGGATAATGTTATTGATCTTCTCCCAGGTGGTAGACTGTCTGATCTGGAGTATGCAGACATATTTGTCTGACTAAATGAAGATCTAGGTAACTTGCAAGCTTTTCGGGCTAGTTTGAGTGCCAGTTAGTCGTGTCTGGTATGCGTTTTTCACCTTAAAAGTGCAAAATAGTGCTACAGGAATGGGTTGGTCCAGCCCCCAGCCTCACTCTAAACCACTACCTGGTCAGCTACGTTGAGAAAACTGCTAATTTTGTCATTGCTTTAGGTAATCATCAGTAAATGTCCACTAGACACTGATGTCATGCTTCCCCAACTTAAATTTCTTCATTTTCAAAGCCTTGGCAAATTTAGTATTCTCCATTGAGGTGTAATTGTTTCAAAGTATTTTCTTGATGAATGGCCCCGACGAAGGATTGTGTAGGTGGAGTAGGCGCCACACTTTTCCCAGATCCATCGGAGACTCCAAAGTCTGCGAGAGACAATATATTTATACTCCAGTCATTTTCCTTTTGTCATCTCCTGATCAACAAATTTGTAAACCTATTTATTATTAGTTTTGTTGCGTTAATACCAATTAATATGTGTTTAACCGTTTCTCGATATATCTTAAAACGAAAAGTACAACTTGATACTACCGAGCGCGTTTTCAGGTCACGCGGATACCCGAGTGACGAACAGTAAATGTACCATTCCCTCTCCAGTAGGCGGTTGTGGACGATCAGTGGAGGTGTTTAAGGATGCTGCAGTTTATCGTCTAACCAGCCATTTCCCTATGAAAATCCATAATTGTGCTGTGACGTCCGCATGTATGATTCGCCAATGGATAAAACCAAACCCCCTTATTCCTTCAGGCATTAAAGTAATAAGTGGTGACGCATGAACCAAACAATGGTCACCGGAATTCCAGTTCTCGTTGGCATCTTGAACATCCCGGATCACTGACCAACAGTAAATGCTTTTGAACCCCATGTGGTCACCAGCTATCAGCAACCGTGTAATACTGCTACCCCACAGCTTCCACCGGAATGTGCAATGGTTAGAGGTGCACCTTCGAACAAATGCCGAATAATGCCTTGGACAGCATTTCATAACACATTCCTACTGCAATAATACAGTATTGACTCACACACATGCTACTTCCTCCCCGCGACGTGTCGTGCCCTGCCTTCTCCTAGTGACCGGGGTGTTCAGCAAGATGGCTAGGCCAATTAACCTCAGCTGGAACGTCAGAAATCTCCTGGACGCAAGAAGTCAGTTAATCACTGTGTATTCTCCTATACTGCGAGGGCGACATAGCTTATCTTTGAGAGGTAAATTTCACCGACTCCGGGAATAAGAGAATTTCGTAACAAATACTCCAATGACCATATCACTGAACCGACTGACAACTGCGAACATGGTGGAGTTACTCTTGCCGTTAACTACTATGCTAACGGCACACTGCATGGGAACCCATCTTCCCTACCACTTTTCAAAGGTAATCAGGTAAACTTGACGGTCACACCCTTGTGCGCCCGAACACTGTCGATTGACCTCTCTACCAAGATTGAATTCAATCAGTAACCATAGAAGCGATATCCCATTGCTGGGGACTAGAATTTTAGCGCTTGATTGTTGTAGGACAACACCCTTCAGTGCCCTGAGAAGTTTGATCTTGGACATCAATGTAAGAATGTCACACCTAGTCCCTTTTTTGGCTCCATTCAATTGGGCATTTCCAACACGCTTTCAACACCCCAGGAGATATTTGTTGACCTGGTATTCAAACGAGAAAAGAACAGCGCATCAGAGCGATTATATTGTAGCTGGATTCCACTAGAATTCCACGATCGAAAACCATCGAGATTTTCACTGTGTGTGACTTGGAGATGCAAGTAGCACTGATCACTCTACGCGCACGCCTCAAGATCCATCTGGAGACTAGACAAAAATTTCGTGACCTTAATCAACACCGCCTCTCTGGACACCAAGGAAGGAACACAGATCCTGTTCTGTGCCGTGGTTAACAAATTTGTTACGAATGTGCGAAGCAACGTTGCTGGGGACCCGCAGAGTACAAAGATTTTGGAATGCATCCAAGAAGTTGCGATATAACTCCTGGGGAACTCCACTGGATCTCGGAAGAGATGCAGCAGTTGTCTAATAACACAAAAGCCCGACTCAGAAAATCCCCGAATCCACTTCCCGTAGGCGTGAGCCACTTGCTCCGCAAAGGTAAGTTGAAAAAAGTAGAGCGGCTTCTTCATTCGGATCTTGAAACACCGTTACGTGCTTCGGCAGCCACCGATGATCTACCTTATCAACTTCCGCATTGCCTTTGATTCCGTCCACGGAAACTGATTGCGGAACATAAGGATGGCAGATTACATGTATGAGGAGCCAAAAGGACCTAAGAATGCTACTGAAGTACCCAAGCCCGAGTCCACACTTACGTGGAGCAGTCTTGGAGATTCCTTTGAACTGGGGACCGACAAAGTTTTCCGCTGACCCCGTTACTGCACGCCACTGACTGGGTAATGAACCATGCCCTCGTTGATCACTCATGTTTATGATGTGGGCCGGATATCTGGATGATGAACATCAAATTTGCGGATGACGTTGTCGTTATCTTAGACACTCTGAATAACCTACAGCCGATTCTCGATTGCTTCGTCGGTTTCATCAAAGGATTTAACTAGGAAATTAATACATCTAAGACCAAAGCCTTTTTAACCCTGGCGATCCCAGCAGAACACCCGTATCACAGTCAACGGTGAGCTAGTAGAATCCTTCCAGGCTTTTAAATACCTCTGCTCCACCGCCCGTCAAACCAAAGACGAAATCTAACCTCGCATCGATGTCGTTAGAAGGGCTTCTCTGTAACAATGTCAAGCCTTATAGACACGCAAAGCAATCGGCCGAGCTACAATCCGTCCTATCTTAAATAATGACTGCGAGGTAGTGGCCAGTGTGAATCCAAGATCTCCCAAGACTCGTGGGTTTCAATCGCTGTATCTACGCTACATCTTTAAGGTAACGTGGCACGACCGATGTTCCTACGAGGAAGTCCACCGGCGTGGCTTTTATCGAGAAGCTTTATGCTTTGCTACAACAGCATCGGCTCCAACAGTTCTATGTTCTCCTGCGTCCCCCCCACAAGGATCTTCAGAAAAGCTCTCTTCCTAATGCCGTAATGGGAATGGTGCAGTCGTTTCGGTCATCATTTGCAAAGCCGGTTTACCACAGTCAAAGAAGACATTGGGCACCCGATCTAAAACCGTGTTTTGCGTCCAATGCTCAAATAAGAATTTGTTTTCGTTCTACGCCCACTTTCTCACAAAACTCCACATATAGACAGCCATCGTCAGAGAAAACAATAAAACTGAGCCATCCTCACGCATAAAAGGAAAAGTAAGTATACGTTGACAACAATAAGATTTTTTCGGACACCCTTAGTGTGGGGAACAATATTCATAGAAGTCCCAACCGCGAGCATTTACTGTCCACTTATGGAGATTGGTAACATACGGTTTTAGGAAATCACTTAAGGTCTCAGTAGATTAGACAGAGCAGTGATCATTTGATTGGAATGATAGTTATGTGGCTTAGTGAAACATTGCTCATTCGTTTTTGTTTTTTTCACAGATTCACTACGTCCCAAACGGCTTCTTATTTTTCTGAATCCAAAATCTGGATACAAAAAGTCTGGTCGTATCTACAATGGCATTTTAATGCCCCTTTTGCGACTTGCAAACGTGGAAGCAATTCCATTTGGTAGGTTCATTACTTTTCACATTCGTTCCACGGTTTTAGATCCCATACCATAGGCTTCGGTTAGTTGATTACTTTGATTTTTGGGAAGAGCAAATTATTGGTGGCTTGAGATCAACTATTTTAAGGACCTGTCAAGATCAATAATTTCAAACAAAACGTGGTTTGATCAAAACACCCGTTTTTATTGATCCGAAAACATGCCAATATATCACAATGTTCATCGATAGTTAAGGAAAAAATCGTGGTGCTGCAAGATTGGGTGTCGACTTTTTCATGCTTTTAAATTAGATGATCAAGAATTAGTTATGGTGGATAATTTCTCCCATCTAGATAGTTGCTTGTCCAATGACGGTATCGCAGTAAAGAAGATAACCGTGACCCTATCCCGAGGATCCCAGAGTGTAGGCAGGACTGGAGTACCCTTGGCGTCGACGTCACGTTTCACGGAAGTTGAAAGGTCGTGTATATTGTGTCGCCGTTTGGTCAGTTCTACTCTACAGTAGTGATACCTTGAGTTTGCGAGTAAATGATATCTTTCGATCAGCAGGTTTTGGCAATCGATTTGTAGGTAGCTTGGCTTAGGCCGGATGAAATGAGCTGGTTGGTAACGTAGAGGTAAGTCGTGTTTTTTGGAATTTATCCGGGGAAAAAATTGCCATCATATCAAATTAAAATTAATAGGCTTCACCATATTGCGAATGCTAGTTTTCGTCTACGGTACCGCGCCTGTTTTGCAGTTGCTGTTTTAGGTTGGAGTAAACCACGCAGAGGCCCACGGATCGCGTGGAGATGAGGCACGAGGAATTGCTCAGAGCGATTAGGTAGAGTATGTGTTTCCCTTCTCCTAAGCTGAGGTCCGAGTTATTGTCTCGCCAAATCACCTTTCAAACGTCCAGTTCCAACCACCGACCTCCTCGAACCAGAAGCCAACACGAACAGTGTGGAAGTTACATTCAACCGCGTACAAGTGCTTTACGTTCAAGTTGAAAACATTCACTATTTATACATGAATTGTTCTTGAGTGTTCTATGCACAATAACCGATATTGGAACATTCCGTGGATAAGATAGGGGTTATTGGGAATTCAGGTGGCTAGTTGCACTTTCCAGTATATTCCACGATAACTCTGGTATCTTCGGTTGATTGACATTGGTTGGCTTCGTTTTTCTCATAGAAATCAACCGATTTTCAGAGGGATTTTATTTTTCGTCACACAAAAGACCTCTAGATGGTTTGCTTAAGAAGTTGAAGGACGAGGCAACAAACCAACAAACGTGTCGTTCTGGTTGTCACATATCAAGCCAGAATACTTGAAAAGATGTGTACGCACAGTCAGGTTGCCTGCTCGGTTAAATGTTTTACCTGGATTATTTCCTTCTTTGGATCAGATCTGTATTTCTTTTTACTGAAATGCGGACATTTGTTCACGCAAGAGTTTACACAAATACAAATAGAGGTTCACTTTCTTTCCTCCTCCGTCAAAATGAAATCGGTATGTGCATTGTGAGCTTGTTTGTGATGATGTTGCATGATGTTTATTGACGGTCTGTTGAAGTCACTAAAAATTGTTATTAATAAAATACATTTATTTTTATTTCCTTTTTCTATTTATTGAATATACAAATGTGCAGTCAACTTTCAGGAAGGGGCTGCGGCCATACAAAGGCTGCCTGGGGAAAAAACAGATATAGGGAAGACGGGC